AGTACTGAAAAGGCTCTGTAAGTGTAGACTAATACACTTTTCACAATATTTATCAGAGTATCTTGTTGTTTTACAATAATTGCATTCTCTTTGTTTGCCAATTTTATAAATTGCTTTTTTTAATTCGAAGTTATAAATAAACCTTTCTCTACAATATTCCTTTTCATTTTCTAATAGTTCTTGGCTTTCTTTGACTAATTGTAAAAAATAATTTTTTCTATTTTCTCTGTCAGAATTAGAAGTAGTTGGAAAAGCAGAATAAGCAATACCATTCATTTCATTCTGAATTTTAATTACTAGTTCTCTTCTGCCATGTGCTAATAACTTTTCGAAGGACATTTTAACTTTTTAATATTTATTTATTTTTCAATAATTTCTTTTTGTAGTATTTATTTGCAAATCAAAAATTATTATTAGTCTAATTTCTTTTGTTTTCGTGTTCCTTTAACAATTGATATTATAGGTGCTTGATTTTACCCAATTGTTTTCCTTCATAATTTCACGTTCCTAATCTTGCGGGATATTAAAATCTTCTTTTTAACCGACCTTAGTATTAGGAATTTCCTTGTATACAATATCTCGAATTCCTTTAATTTCTCCTACAGTAAAAATATTGAATATAGTTATAAATGAGAGTGCGCTAGACTGTAATAAAAACAAAAAAAGTAAATCCAAATGCAAATTCCATTTTTCCCTTGTTTCATTTGAAGTATTTGATTTCGTAATTATAACCAATTCAAAGTCCTATATAGATAGACTCACCTCAATTGTTATTGATCTCCTGATTCTTTTCAATTGTTGTAATTGTTGTTCTTTGTCAAGAACTTCATCGCCTATATTTCACTTGCCGCTCCATAGATGTCTATTTTTTTTTAAAAGAACATACTAAAAATAAAAACACCGCTATCTTTTCCTTCATAGTTGAAATTTATTTTATGTTAAAGTTCTTCTAGGGCTACCAGAAACCGTTTATACCAGATTCTATCAAGGCTTAAGATATAATGGGGGCACCTAAAGGCAGCACCTAAGCCGACAACGGTCACAAATTATGGATAGAATTTTGATTGATTAGATTACCACCGAATTGTTTCGTTAGATTGTTAGTTAATTGATTTATTACATGAAGACTAAATTAATTAGTGTTCAAAAACGATTCTATAGTACAATGATAGTAACTATTGTAAATGGGTATATTAATATTTGAGAAATAACAATCAGGACAGTGATGTAATAATTCTTCAATAATGATATTATTATTAATTCGTAATCCTTAAACTTTGACAGAATATCAAGAAAAAAGATTTATACGGGTCTATTTGTCAATATATAGTTATTTATTTGATCTAATACTAAAATCGATTTTTCAAAACAAACAATCGAATGAATTATTTATCCAATGTTTAATCGAAGATTTTAAAAAAAACAATTGTTTATCAAGGATTTGGCCAAAATTTCAAACAATTATATTTACCATATAGATGATGAAGATTTCTTTTCGGATGAACTTTGACTGGATGCAAATCTCCAAGAATACATCATCAAAAACACTAGTCTTCATCACGTAATGCGAGTAAAAAAACTATTTTTAATTGTATTAATATTCATATAAGAAACTATATTAATAATACTAAAAAAAAGAATCATTATCCATATGTTTCAAAACGCGATCCTACTACATCTTCACCAAAACCTATTCTATAACAAATGCAATAAAATAAGTTGCTAAAGTAACAACCAACATTATGAACTTTTCCTTCAGAAAATGAAACATTTAATAATGAAATTGAATATTCAAATATTCGAAGAAATTAATATAACTCGTTCTCAATGAGTCAATCTGCCACACAAAGAAGGTTGAACACAAAGTAATTTTTAATGTAAAATTACTCGAGGATGGATTTCGCTCTCTTCAAAAATACTTTTATAGATAAAGAATGGAGTTCTGCTTTAAAATCAGCGTTTATTGCCAAATGCAGAGAGAGATAATTATCATTTACTACTCCATTAGAAGCAGAATAATATGTTACCATCGACAGCTTGCAAATAAATAATAAAATGGTAACAGAAGAAGAAATAATTCTTTTGATCCAGCTGAAGAGGAGGAAATTGTTGAGAGCAATAACTAACCTAAGCTTCAGAAAAAATGTTGTAATCGTCTTTGAGACTGCTTTTGATTATCTATTTATCATTACTTTTTTTATTTAATTATCATCATCAACAATAATCACCAATTTTTGCCACAGAGGATTTTTTGTTGGCGCTGTGACAAGGTTTGACTATATAGTATTTACATCAAAAAATTACAATCGAATTAAATTTGTTTTCACACTACACTTGCCAATTTATATAATGGAAAAACTTTCAAATCAATATTCTTTTTCGTTTTTTTCCTAGTTGATGGACATTGGTGATCAAAGATGAATATCCTAAAAGCCTGTGTATTATGAAATAACGAATACACGAGCCTGAGATAAAAGGCCGGTTTGTTTGTAAAACAATAATTATATTGACCCTGATAAAGATGAAGTAAATAAATGACAAAACGTACAAGTTTCTTAAGATCTTGAGTTTCTAACTGAAAGCTTCTTATGACTCTATCTTTATTTCAATAACTATTCTATTGTATGTATCATCATCATCCTTGATCTTGACATTCTCCAAATTATGATTTTGACTTGTACTGCATCCACACTTTACCATTCACTGATTATGTGAATCCAGTTTGGGATAATGATAACAATTATGAAACGTATAATCTCCATCTTTAAGTTCATTTTGCTAGTGCTGCCAGATGATCCATTTGGATAATAAAATTTTAACTTTTTCAATGCAGTTAGAGTTAGTTAACAAGACAGCTACTAATAACTCTTTTGAATTTTTAGAACAAATCTAGAGCTACCGTCCAATAAATAATCCCGCCTGTTAAAAAAAACGAAACAGATCTTTTCTATAATTAATTGATCTATATCATTGTTGTACGATGTGCTTAAACATTCAATATTTTTACAATTTTGTCCTATTGATTGATTTAATTACTTCACTTAAATAATCAAAATCACTTGGTTTGCCACTAATGGTCAAAGAATTAAGATTTACTGCTCTTATTGTAATTATAATTATCATCGTCATCACTACCATCGTTATCGTCATCGTCGTCGTCATCATCACCGCCACCACTGTTATCATTATCATCAGAACCTTGTAGATATATAACAATTTTAAAATTTTGAAACGTTGATAATGTAATTGCATCTAAATTATAATTATTATCGCCAATGGTTACAATAGTTAGTTATGTTTTTAATACGGCCTTTTTAAATTTATCCGATACATTGCTTAAAGAATAGACAGGCAAATGATTTATATATTATTTTGTGCTAAAATTAGCCGAGCCAGACTATGATCAACTCCATCATCACTACTACATAAAGATCTCGTGATTGATAATTGTTGAATGCTTTTTTACAATTCTTTGCCAATTTATTAAAAAACTTGGCACCATTAAAATAATCTGAAAACAGGCGTTAAATCGATGTATGTGATCCGAGTTCCGAATGATCAAAAATGAAGCCTGCTAATCTTTCCTTTAAACGATATATTTGATTATAGGTTGGACTAACCATCAGCGCCTCAAAGTAACTCATATCCTCAATACACAAACTCGGTGGCAAATTTAGCATAATTACATAATGATGGTTGTTCTTCTAATGATTTTAATTTAACCTTATTTTTCCACAAAGAAATTCTCAATCTTCTACAAATAAACAACTAATTAAAGTTCTGAGACTCCATAAAGTTGGAATATTATTGATCCTATACCATCTTTTATTAGCTGGAATGCAAGAAAAAAAAGTGTTTTATGATCATTTATCTATGTGTTTAAATATTTCCAACAAACACTCCATCAGTAAATCAACCATCTTTTTTTTTTTTTTTGCAAAATATTACTCCGCCCCACGATCTTTAAACTGGGGAAGTGATCGATCGACAAAATTTTAATCGGCCAATTTCTCCCCTTAAGAGTCAATTTTGGACTAGCACATAATTGAAATTAAATGAAGGTATGTATGTATATCTCTGTTAAAAGATTAACAACGAATTAATGAATGCGTTGAAACAATGAATTTTGTAAAGTTACATACAAACTTGCTTGCAACATTAAGAGAGAGAGACAATGCGGCTGGTCAAAAAAGAATCAGAATCAGTGATGATGAATGAGATAATAATAATATAATATAATAATTATTTAAAGAATGAATGAACGGTGCTCTTAAATCCGATTATCAATCCAACCATGACAACAAATAAGTTGCAGGTTTAATTATTTTAAAGGTGTAAAATTTCAGAGCCAAGATTACAAGATCTGAAACTTGCAGGATTTAATATATTTCAAACTATTATTAAAAAGAATCTAACAAGCCGTCACCATCATCATCTATAAAAAATAGAGATAAATTATAATATGCATGCATATATGTTGAAGATTAAGTAGTAAATTAATCATTCATCTTTGCACATTTTCATTACCTGACATTATTATTATCATCATCATCGTCATCATCTCACTTCTTTAGGTATCGTTTAGTGAGTTTGACTTTAAAACAACATGGATATAAATTTGCTTTGTTGCTATTCAAGTTATAGTTATTATGAATAAAAAGAATAAATTTATTTTATTCTTTAAAATTATTATATTATTATTATTGCTATATTAATTTTTAGTGATGCAATTAAATATGTAAAATAAATATATATAAGTTTTTTAAAAATATAGATATAGAAAACAAATGAATATATTATATATATATTTATTATTTATTTATTTGATATAAATAAATAATAATTTTTTTCTTTTAAATAAATTAAGTAAAAATAAAAAAAAAAAACTAAATAATTATAAATAAAAAAAAATTTTAATATTACCATTATTACAAAATCATTAAATTTATTATTATCAATATTACAACTTTTTTAAAAATTACAAAAAAAATAAATATATATATATATATGAAAATGAAGGAAAAGGATCTTTTCCAAGAGATATATATATTTGTGTGCGTGTGTGTATGAATGTGATTATAATATGTGAATGTGCGGTGTGCGTGATTGATAATAGTGATAACTAATGGTAGTATTAATCATGGAAATTAAAGTTTTGTTTTTTTTTTTTTTTTATATACTATACATATATTATTTTTTTAAAATTATATTTATATATAAACTATCATTATCATCTAATAGTTTCTCCCTCGTCATCATCATTCTGCTTTCTTTCTTTCTTCGCCCTCTTCGTCTTTTTTTTTTTTTTTTTTTTTTTTTTTATAAAAGACCGCAATCTCTTAAATTAGTTTGAATGATGATATCGTTAACAGCAGCCATCACAAATTTGATTTGTTCCGTATCAGTTGCGCAAGTGAAATGTGTATAAATTTGTTTTATGTCTGATTGATTCAGTGATACGAAACGATTAAGTATATAATCACACGCAAGTTCATAATCACTTCCACCTTCATAATCGGGGAAATATTTTACCATTGGGGATAATGGTAATTTTTCTTTGAAACGATCTATCTTATTTAAAAATAAAATAATTGACGTCTTGACAAACCATCTTGAATTACAAATAGAATCAAATAATGTCAATGCTTCTTGCATACGATTCTAAAAGGAAGAATTGTAAAATAATTTTTAGTATATAAATAAATGTTTCGACTTAAAAAAAATCATGTAATAAATAAATATATCTTTAAGCACTACTCAATTACATACCACAGTCTCATCTTCCAATAGCAATTGATCATATTCAGAAATAGCTACCAAGAAAACAATCGCAGTAACATTTTCAAAACAATGAATCCATTTCTTACGTTCAGAACGTTGACCACCCACATCGAACATACGATAGGTTAATTCATTAATTAGGAAGCTAGTCTCTGTGATCCCAGTTGTTTTTACTCGAGATCTTAATACATCTTGATCGTCTGGAAGATAGTCTGGTTGTGAAATGCGATCAATTGAATCAAAATAGCTATTTAATATAAATGTACAAGTGCAAGTATTAGTAAGTAAATATCATTTATATATTAGCTGACATACATGTAATTTAAACACTATTTTATAATAATAATAATAATAATAGCAATAATAAATTGCATCGTAAAATATAAAGAAAGAAAGAAAGACACATACTATTTTGCTGAATCATTTAATTGATATTCTCTGGATCTATTAAAACATTCTCTTACTCCGCTATCAGTCCATAAATTTTTGATGGCCGTTGAAACGTCTGAAGGTAAATGATCACCTTCGATTTGACTTGGCAAATTTAGAATGATGCTTTCGTAACCTTTATTTGACCCATCACGAAGTGAAATTCCCATTGTACCCATTGCCTCTAGAATTACACGCATTGATTGTACTGTATTTGAGAAAATAATTTCTTTGAATGATTCACGCTCCTCGGGTGAATAGCCTCCATCATGAATAAGTTTCATTTGTTTTAAAATTGTTGACTTGCCGGATTCGCCAGCACCTTTAATTGATTAGTTGATTAATTGAATTAGTGAATGAACGAGCGAGAGGGTGAATGAATGAACATTTTTTTTAAAGATGTATGTATATGAATAAATACCTAGCAAGAGCATTTTAACTTCATTACGCATTGAGAGCCTGTCTCTTTTAAGTTGATTTTCAATCTCGTCATTTTTTCTTTTTCTTTCTCTATCTTCTATGCTCATACAACAACCCATTATTATATTATTTTATTATTATTTTATTATTATATTTGTATTGTTACCTTTCTGGTTTTTTTTTTTTTGTAATTTTCAAAAAAAAAAAGAGATTGTTATAATTATACTTTAAATAATAACTCTATTATATAATACTTGAAGATTGGAATGAAATAAATGAATAAAAAAAAAAAATGAAAAGATAGAAACTCAAATGACAATTAAATTAAAATTAAATTAAATTATTAAAAAAATTAATGGTAAATATTATTATTATGAAATTATATTTAATTATTAATTATTATTCTATTTATTATTATTAAGTTTTTTTTTATATAGAACCCCCCTTGAGAATGATGAAAAAAAAATTTGAAATAGAGAGAAAGAAAGACGTTTTAGAGTGTTAAAAATGGATTAGAAAAAAAAAAAGTGGTGGAGGCGTGCTTGTAATATAAAGTTACAATTTGAAAATAAATTTTATTTATTTATATATCTTATATAAACTATACATAAATTATGTTACATTTTTTTCCTAAAAAATTTTTTAATAATAAAATTAAAAATTTGTGTATTTATTTATGATTGTTTTTTTAAATTAACAAAAGTATACCAAAAATTCCTTGTTTCAATTGTTTCAAGATTATTATTTGTTTATTTTTATTGTTGAAATTATGAAACACTTTTCCATTACTTTATTTAAATCTATCGTCAAATTATTAACCTTTGGAAAATAACAAAGTAAATTGCTAATTCTTGTAAATTAAACAAATCATCAATGAATAAAGTGACGATATAAAGAAAAATTATACAACACCAATTATTTAAATTTATTTTTAGCATCTGTCTTTGAGAATTATTAGAATTATGTATGCTACACAAAATCAAAATATTTCGGGTTTCGAAAATTTTTTAAAGACGAGTCACCAATATTAATTGATCATAGTGACATATATATAATGAATAAATTATTTTTTTTAATAAAAAAAAAAAATCTAATAATCTTTTCTATATAAACGAAACAATCAAGTTTTTCTTTTACATTAAAAATATTACTTTCGCAATTATATATAGAGATATATATATATATATAATATATACTTAAATTATTTAAAACATATGACAAACAAACATATGACTTTGTGTGCACACGTCTAATAAAAACTCAAATTATTATTATAATTAATCCCCACCAATCAACCAAGCTTTTTTCTTCATTTCTTTTTTCTTGATTCTTTTTTGTTTTAATATTTCAATTTCTCTTTTATTTAATTTCTTATTACTTTTATATTTTGTTGTTGATATTGTTGTTGGTGGTGTGATTGGTGCCGTTAATGTTGCCAAAGATGGAAAACTTGTACTGTTGTTGTATGCGGCGACAGCATAATTTAATCCTCTTTGCTCAGTGTAACGCTCGTAATCAAAGAAATAGGACATTTGTCTAGCTGCTTTTGCTTCTGCAGAAAATTTTTCAGGATTCAAAGTGGGATCTCGTTGAAATTTACCAGTGCGTGAATTAAACCTTCCTGTTACAGTATAACCAGCAGGTTCGCTACTGTTGTTATCATTATTACTGCCATGTTGTGCTAAAAATGAATAATATTCAGAATTGCCATCTAGCTCTTTAGAATATTGATTATTACTGTTAATAGAAATATCATCTGATGTAGAATATGATGAAGATGGTGATGTGATGGTCGATAATTGTGGTGTTGATGATGACAACCGTGTTGTCGTATTATTATTTGGTGAATATATAGTAGCAGCAGAAGTAGAAGAATTCGTGGGAGGGTTTGATAGAAAAGAAGAAGTATTATTATTATTATTACTGCTACTACTACTGTTATTAGTATTATTTCCATCAAGTTTAGACTTAACTTCTGTATCAATTTTATCTAATAATGAATCTAAAGGATTTGTTTGATCTGTGTTGGCTGTGGAAGAATTTACCGAAGATGTTAAATTGACGTTGTTATTATTAGCATCTGTAGTAGTAGTAGTAGTAGTAGTAATAATGAATAGAATTAGTATTAGCAACATGTTATTATTAATATTATTGATATTAGTGTTGTTAATTCTAACACAAGTATTAATATTTGGATCATATTCATAATAATAACCTTCTGGATAATAGCCATAATAATATTGATAATAATCTTGTTCTGAATATCCATAATATTGATTATCACTTGTAATATTATTATCAGGTTCTAGTGATTGGTGATGTTCTTGTTGTTGTAGTAATTCGGTTGGAGTTGTCCAAGTTGTTTCATTTGTTAAAGTGTTCCAATAATAATATGCTTGAACATCGTTATTCCAAACCATTTGCCAAGCTTGTTTACTTTCATCACCATCATTTTCTTCTTTAGCTTCATCTGTTTCTTCTTTAGCTTCATTTGATTTCTCTTTTTCATCATTAGAAGTGGTATTAGTAGTAGTGGCCGTGGTAATGTTGTAATTGTTGTTGTTTGTATCAGTTTCATTTTCAATGTTGGAGTTATTATTATTACTATTATCATTATCGATGTCAGAAGCAGATTCATCACTAGTGGTAGAACCGCTCGTAGTAGTAGTTTTATTAGCAATAGTAATAGTAGTAGTAGCACCATCAGAAGCGCCATCAATTGCATCGTTAGTTACATCAGTAATGGAACTAACAAAAGTATTAGTAACTTTTGGGGAAGACATGGAATTTTTTAGATTTATTTTATTTTTTTACTTTACTTTCTTCTGTTTTCTAATTTTTTTTCCTAGATTTTGTTATTTGTTTGACTGATTGGGTTAAAGAAAATTTTTTAAAAAGAACAATATATATATATATATTAATAATATGAGAGAAGGAAAACAAATTCCAGGTGTCACCGCAAAAAAAAAACAATCATCATATATATTACATATATAATAACAATATGGGGTCAGCATGACACAAAATTTTTTTCAGGGTCCATTCAAAAATCCTGCCTGGTCTCACACACAAAATGGTTGTTAACTTGTCAATCAGTCAATACATCAAAGCTATATGAATGAACTTCAATAGTAATATATTAATAATATTTATCTTTACGTATGGTATGGTAAAGCTCATTTTCATTTGATCTGAAATAATTTTCATACAACGTTGCTATCAAACTTTGTGAATTGTCACGTGTTACGTGCCACGATTACATCATGTGGCCGACAAAGACGTGCGTGTCTAGGGGTTCGTGTTTATGAAAAAATGTGTTCATAAAGATTGTTTCAGAGAATTCAATTACTTAATTAGTAGTGAACTTAAACTTTTCCATATATGTTTAAAACTCAAAATAATAAAAATAGATTATAATAATCCAATATAAAAAATTCCATCTCAAAAAAACATTCATTATTGTTATTTTGTTTCTTTATATACTCACTTACGCTTTAAATTCTTTAGCATCAAAGATTAATAATATTTATTACCAGCGATATCATTTTCTTTGGATATTTATAAAAAATAATAATATACATTCTTTGATTTATCAGTAATATTTCAAAATAACAAATAGTGACAGTTTGAATTGTTTGGTCCACTTCTTTAGACAAAAAATTGCTTCACAATATATTTTTCACATAAAACTGGAGATCCTTCCATAATAAATTGACAAACGATCGAGTTGCAAGAGACGTCTGGTGGCGAACCAGCAATAAAATCAATTGCAAGCCTTGTTTTCAAGTTGAAAGATATCATTAGGAACTAAGGGCGCAAAAATATAGCACTTGAGGTTATCACTCTAGTATGACATACAGAAAGTGCACGTATGAAATTAAATAAAACACGGAATCTTGGTAAATTTGTTTGCTAATTTATGTTGGCGTTACTTAAAAAAAAGAAAAGATAAACAGTTATGATAACAACATACGATCGATCATACGGCAAACCCTTTCCAATAGTTACAACATAGTTACAATATAGAGTTATAGTTCAGGCAATATGTCTGCACCCTTATTAGAAACGTTTACAAATGCAGTAGATGTTACTAGTGAGTAATTAGGAATATTTACATGTTAATGATATTGGTTAACCGGTGCCTCTTCTCACAAATATCAACACAAGTTACACGAGTCACTACATTAATCCATTGAAAATATTGTTCAAAACCGTGAACAAACTGAATCAAGCGCTTTTAATAGAAATCATAACCATTGTATTTTGTTTTTTCTATTCTATCGTTATTATTTTTTATATTTATAGAACCAAATTTCGGGCGAAACATCAGGTAATTCACGAATAATGGCTCTTCATGACATAGTCGAAATTATTTAAATTAAAATAGGAAAAAAAAATATTAGTCCTTTTTTCCAAAAATAGTTTGGACTGGAAGCTTTAGATTGAAAGGGAAGAGCTTTGGCTTAAACAGGTATTATGTTCTGATCCTTTTCTAGATATAATGTTTAGTGTACTTGTCGAGAGGGTCCAACTGGACATCATGAAATGAGGCGAGAACAAGAAACATTGGTGTGACTGAGTTGGCACTGTTTTGGATGAAGATACCATATTAGTCCATCAAAAATTACTAAACAAGATCCAGCTCTCATGTAAAGAATTATCAATAACGTTGCGCAGGAATTTAATCTTGAAAATTACGATCTGGCTTATTAAATCTGGATTACAAATATTGGTCAGTAATTCGACCCAATCAATCTTTGCAAGTGCAGGATGCAAACAATCACACAAACCATTAGCCAACATGCAAGTTTTTTATTACGAAGCTTCAGGGTTTAAGACAAGCAAGCATGGGAAGCACAAATACCCATAGAGTAAAACCTGATAAGAAAGTTTTTTTATAGCTAACACTGAATTTAATCTTAACTATAGCAGATGATTTTTTTCTTGAGATTTATTATTCAAAAAAAATAATTCTATTTCTAACAAACCAACTATCAATATCTATTGCAATTACTACTATAATAAATAATAAATAATAATGAAAATAGATTTATTAACAATAATTGATAAACAATATACATACATATTATAACTTAAATAATAATAAACCTTGAATGAATGAATATTTTTTTGATCAACTAATTAGTTACCTTTGCTGCAGCTGAACGCAAATTGTATAGTGTTGCATTCTACATCACAAAATGCGTCTACTTTCAGCAATTTGTTTCGCAATTGCCCCAAGATTTACTAGCATCTTTTTATATTAATCAATTGTTGGATGTTTCAGGCTCCAATTAGTTTCAAGTTCGGTTAGCCTCATACTTTAATTAATTGGTTGATCAGTTTCATCCTAAAAACAAAAGAACAATATTAATGTTAATAATACACAACAAAGACAATTCAACGACATAAGTTGTTACATGACAATAGGATAATCTCACCTCGACGACTACTTATTTTATCGTTGTCATCATCATCTGCACATTTATAACCGTTTATCCAAGTAAATAATTCCAAATCTGCTTCCATCAATCTTTTCAATATTTTTCTGTTCATTTTTAAAAGAAACCCATTCAAGATAATTATAATTCCGTATCCTCTATAATGAATGTTTTATTGTCACTTGTACATCCTTGAGTTGAACTGGTGTAGTTTTATCAAATATTTTTACTTTGCAGTTTTCAACAACATCATTTTTTTCACGTTCAATTCAATTTTTAACAAATAACTATATATTATTATGTCACAATTTTTTTTCCTGCGTGAAGAATTGATGTATCATAATGATATGAATGTAAATTCTTTGTTATTATTACTCTACGAATAATTGGAGAAAAAGCAAAAAAAATTTATTTATCATGTATGTAACAAAAATAAAAATAAATAAAAATAAAAATTTTATTTACAATAAACCATCGTCGATCAATCAAAAAAAACTCGACACCCAAAGTTTTTGCATATATAGAGACTACGTTTGTTATTTTAACCGGTCAAATAACAATCATTCAGTGATTTGGAAAATGACGGCTTTTCTAAAAATATTTCAAAGTTTCTTTCATATTAATATGCATGGATGTGCTAAACGCACACAACAAACATTGAAATTATTGGATAAATTAAAAAATATAAAAAAAATACACACCATTAGTTCATCCAATCGTCACGGCCAACATGATTGATTTTATCAAATTGAATCACTGTTACCAAATTGTCTTTTTTATAAACAATAAAGCAACGGATCGATATTGTATATTATATAAAATTAATTGTTATATAAATATATATGTGTATGATTATTAAAAAATTTAAAAAAAGAAACTCAAAATATAAACAATTATCATAGTGCAGGTGGCACTGTATTTTTTTCACGAGTCATCGCAACGTTAAAATCAGAAATATTTGCAAAAGAAAAAAAAGATTTCGATTTTTATTACTGAAAGACGTATAAAATCGAGATTGGTAATTTGGCATAACTTATTTTGTGTACACAAGCAAACTCGATAAAAACAATCATTGATTGATTGAGAGGACCGACTCCATCGAGTTTTGCCTGTATTATGACCCATCGATGCGTCACACTCATACAAAAAGGTTCAAGTTTGTGTATTATACTTTTTTTTGTTCCATGATACTACAAATCAAGTTAATCTTCAAATGGTTTAGTGTAATAAATAAAGACTTGCTATGTTTGTCACGCAGATTTAATGACCGACTAGTACCTGTTGTCCTAATCCTATCTATCTCCGTGATCTTTCACAAAAAAATATTCCAAAAAGTTTATCATTGTAAAATCTGGTTTTGCCGCAAAAGTTGTACAACATTATAGGAAATATTATTATTATGAAATTATCTATATAATATATGATGTGCATGAAAAGGTTTGGTCTTTGACATTAAAGGTATTATTATAATAAAATGATTATTAATATTTTTGTGACGAATAGAATACTCTTGATAATTATAATTGGTTTGTTGATGTTGATAATAAAATTTTTTATTTTTAAAAAAAAAAAAAAAAAAAACTTAACGAAAAAAATTCTAATATAATACATAAATTAAAATGAAATAAAATATAGATGATAAATAAGATAAATATATACGTGTGAATTGAAGAAAATATCTTTAAAAAGCGAATAAAAATGTATTCGTCATGTTTATATAATTTCCTTCCTTCTCAATTTGCCGTAATTCTGGTACTTTTACGATTTTGATATTTGCCACTCGATGAATCATTCTGACAAGATCTCTGAGCTAAACTTTCAAATTCATCCATAGATTTCATAATTTCTTGCAATTTTACTATAGAATGTTGATTTTCTAAAATGTCATTAATAAATGGATGATTATGAGGATGATGGTGATGATGGTGATGATGATGATAATAATTGCTATTATCTACAGAATCTTTGCGTGGATCTGTTCCAGAAAAATAAAAAGTTTCTTGAATATATTTTAATAACAAACTACTCCAATGTTTAAAATTGTTTTCAGAAATAAACAAATTATAATCAATAAGTCGAAGAAAACATATCTCAATCGTATTTAATTCATTAATAGGAAGACCTGATACCCTTGACCATGCACGATTAGAATAATTACAATCTTGAAGATATTTCGAAGCAATTATTAAAGCGGCCAAAAACATCCGTCTACAACAAGTCGCAGGATTGTTATTATTATTATTATTGTTATTATTATTATTATTACGATTAGACCTATCAGTAATTAAAGAAATTTTTGATTTAATTCGAAATAAATATAATAAAGTTGCTTGTAAAGTAGAATACGAAGTCCTGGAACGCCTTAAAGTTTCCTTCACGAAAACTTTTAGTGAAATAACTTTGGAGCTTGGATCAAAAAACATATCGGCCCAAATGATTTCAATTATATGGCAAGTCATGTCTAATATAAAGATTTATTGTCATTATTATTATTATTATTATTCATAAAAAATTTTCACATGTAAAATTTTTTTTAATCACTTTCATTTTTAGTATAATATAAATAAATATCTTTTACTCTACTCACCAACAAGTTTTTCTACAAATATTGTTTTTTTCCTTTTTTCACTTATTAAATTTGGAATAATGTTAAGAATAGAGTAGTCGTAATCTTCCTTTTTAGTCTTGGCCTGAGTCTGATCGGTAACTAACAAAAAATTATTGTGAACATTTTGAGATAAATGATGCTGTTGATAATGATAATGTTGTTGTTGTTGTTGTTGTTGTTGATGGTGATGATGGTGATGATGGTGATGATGATGATGATTAGTAGGATGATGATGATATTGTTGCTGTTGTTGTTGGTGACTAGTTATTATATCATTATTTTCCGTAAAATAAGATGAAATAAAAGATGACGGCGGGGAAGAATCAGATGAACAAAGTGAAGATATTGAAGAAGATAAGGAAGGTGGCGACGATGATTCAAATTGATACGACATCTTATAATAAAAATTACAATCTTTTATTATTCTTTTGTTTTAAGGAGGATAAAAAAAATATAAATGTATTGTAACAACAAGGTTCCGAGAACTTTTCAATATTGGAAAGTTTATTAATCTTGATAGCAAAATTTTCAACAACAAAAAAAATTCAAAATATGCACAGTTTGTTTCGTGTTCCACTTGTTATTACTTTACTTTTTAACCCTGTCAAAAATATGATGAACTTTTTTGTTGTTGTTGATTTTGCTATTATTGCAAAGTTAGTTTCTGCTATTGTTAATATCATGAGAAGTTGAGAAATTAAAATAAAATTTTTTTTTTTTTTTAAATTTTATTTATGTGTTTTATGTACCAAATGCCAAATATGTTGATCTAGTTCATAAAAAAAAAACGAGTATGAAACTGGTTACACTAATATTTGGGAAATTCTATTGATAAGCCTTAGCCAAGTTTTTTTTTTAATTGAAAAAAGTGTGCGAAAAATAAATAATGGCTTGAAAAAGCACGAGAATTTCATGGACTTAGGAGTAACCAAAAGTACCCCGTCATTTGAATTAATCATTCATCAGTAATGAAGTTGGCCACCAAACTTAACGAACGAATTCTAATTTTCGTAGTTTTGCCAGAGTTATATAAGATAATAAATTTACTATTCTTTTTTTTTTTTTTGAATTTGATGATTTTGTCGAAACACAGCAACACACACACACACACACACACACATAATATACACATTAAAAACGTTAGAAACTTGCTCAGGTCAAGATCATCAGAGGAATTAGTTTATGAATAGAGGAAGATATTCATAACAAACATTTCTTGCGTGCGATAACACTTTAAGCCACCCCTTCCATAATAATTTTTACTTGAAGCAAGACACGTTAATTTTCAATTACTTCATTCAACTCGGAGATTATAATTTCAAAATTTCATAAAATAACATTTCTATTAATAGAAGTTCGAATTATTATTCATATATGCATTCTTTCATTTCAATCAATGGCACATTTTTTCTTACTTAATAACCAACCAACTTTTATATTTTTAAAGTTTTTATTTATTATTATTGTCGTTACATTTTCCTGCATTTTAATTCCGGATTTTTACAAAATTTTTATGTCCCCATTAAATCTAAATTAGTAAACTGTATGTGTATGTGTGTGTGTATATGTATATATATATATATATATTTGTCACCAATGAAGTTAAGCAAGAAAACTTATTCAAAAAAATTTTTTTTTCTTTGATGATCATATAATTTTTTCTTTAATTGGGATAATTCATCAAATCCAATCCATGATTGACTAGATGATTATAATAATTACCATTATTTCGATTTGCTGGTTGCGAAAAGGTTTTTGTAAAGTAGACAGAATTCGGATGAATTATTGATTTACAAGTTGAAGGATCAAATGAAATTTTTATCTATGAAGCTCTTACTTTTTTAACCGATAAATTTGTTTATCAGGATCATCTACCGCTATTATTAAATCAACAGAATGGTCTACCATCAGTATTTGAATCAATGCCAATTTTTCAATATAAAGGAGTATTGTTTAAAAATATGCAGGTCTTCACAAATGGCCATTGTAAGATTAAAATCATGTGGAATAAATATGATTAAAAATATACTTCAAGACTATGCCTCTTTAAATCTCTGGTGAAACTCCAAATATAGAGTATTTTGAGGAGCTAATGCTTGATTAGCTGGAATTGACATAATCCACAAGTCTGTAATATTATTAATACTATATATTAACAACAAGCTAGTAATGATTTATAAATTTAAACAAGTATATTTAAAGGAGTAAAACCTAATTTTTTTTCTAACAATACCTCTTTCTTTACATTGAATCGGCTGATCCCCATAAACGCCAAATTTAATATCATTAATTTTGGTTTAGATTGATTTATTCTTGAATACAAATAAAACCTTCATAAATTGTGAAAAGTAATTTGTGACTTTATGACTTTTAATAAAAAGATTCAGCACCCACCATCTATGAGAGACCATTAATGGTGATCACGGAACCATTGATTCGATTCCCGGATACATGGCCGTTTGGATAATTGTCATTGATCAAGTTGCTCGCGTTTTTTTTTTAAATCAATCTCCTTGGAGAGGGGAGATCCACTTGACGTTTCCATTGACCGGAAAGATGTCAATGCCGCTATTCAAGAAGAAAAATGACATTTTTGTCAGATCCAAAGACGAATATATCGCCTGTCTCTCAAAAAGATTCAAATATGGTCTCTCTCATGTTGTGTCGTTGACCCGAAATACGGTATTCACGCTTGAGTTTAGAATGTTCAAAATAAATGATACTAAAGCCATTAAAGAATATTTAGATAAAGTAAGACTTATCGGAAATTTATCAAGGGAAAAAATCAACAAAAAGTATTATGGGGAGCTTCCGAAAACTCAAAAAGAAAACGAAAATTAGAAGAAAAATAATATGCGTTTTCTTACTGTGAACTCGGTCACAAGGTATATCAAAAATCATGCTCTTCTTGTTGAATGGGGATTTTTTTTATTAATATAGAAAATAGTCAATGTTGTTTTATATTCTTAGTATATTATTAATATTGGTATTAGGTTTAAATAAATAAGTTGCGTCATCCAATGGGGGGGTTCGATATTATGTGCGTCTGTTGATCATTTTTCAACGTGTAAAAACGTGTAAAAACTAATCCGTCTATGGATGAATGGATCGTACAAGGAAAGACTCCATATAATTGAGTTAACATTCCTAATTTGGGAAAAATTTTGCTGAGGTTATTATTTATATGAAAATTTGGGTAATAGCAATTAATAATAATAAAATAATTAAGATATTTATTGTTCCAATGATTACATATTAATATGAGGAGGAGATTACATATATGGGGCATACTGCAACAAAACCAGACAAAGTGAACATTGGTATTACCGAAAATTTCAGGGATCAAAATTTAGTTATTATCATCACAATTAGTTTATAATGCCCCCATTTGTTAAGTGATATAAAATTAATTTACATCAGATCCCAAGAATTATATTTGTATATTCGAATTCGAATTCAAATTCAAATACTTGCTAATTTCTTCTCCATGTTAAAATTACTGTCTCTGACTTAAAGATGAAGATTTTGCCAAAGTTGCTGATGAATATAAAAACAATCCTATTTGATTATGAATAGCCCATATAACTTTTTAATTGCTATGATCTATGTTGTTAAAAGAATTA